TGAGGGAACTAGACCTCGTGTCAAACCTGTCTTTGACAGCATAATTATTGTAGAATTCAATACTAGCATCCAATGTTTTAAAAATCATGTCAACCACTGGTTTGATTTCATCTTCACAGTGCGGAGTCCAATACTGTGTCATTCCAGGATATGGTCAAGGTATAACCATTGATGCTGCTGCTGGGACTCAAACTGGGGTTGTTTGGAGATTGCAAGTCACTAGGAACTGTAACATATAAGTATGAAGTTATTATTGCGTTGTTGTAAACCTCTACGTGCGTATTGTGAATACTTAATATGCGTTAATTTAATCAGTTCATTGCCAATCTTTCAGGTTTATAAATTACAAAAGTATGTGCGGCAAGTGAGCACTCAACGTGCGACAGGGAAATAGTTACTGTGCGTATGTTGAACAGTTAACATGCATACGTGTTTTTTAAAATGTAAGGTCATTACTTAACGTGCGCCAGTGAGTCCATTAGCATGGGTCAGTGTAAACATTAACATGGGTCAGGAAAACACTGAACGTGCATGTGTTGAACAGATAACATGCGTAAGTGTTGTTTAAAATGTTATGTGGGTAATTAACGTGCGTCAGTGAAAACAGTAATATGCGCATTTGTAAAACTTAACATGCGGCTATGTAATCATTTACGTGCGTAAGTCTTTTAGGCTCAGAATAATTAAGGTCGGTCATTATTTCAGTTGTTAAGTTGCATGCATTTAGTATTTAATGTGCGTGAAATTAAGACGAGAAGGAGGTCAATATAAGAGCAGCTAAAATTAACTCGAAATTAGCGATAAAATTTGGGTAATACCTTGATCGAATTCTTCCATTGTTGATCAGTTGACATTGTTGCTCAGTTTAAGTTTTCTTTTGATGAACAAGCTATTGAACGATGAAGAGAATAGATTTTCTTGCTGGTAGGGAATATCCCGACCGACATAGCTTCACCACGACCGAGATGCCTTTGTCCTTTTGTCTATATCTTTGCAGGTAACAGGTCGGGCTCCTTGAGGAGAACCCGGTCGGGGACCGACCGGGAGTTGCCCGAGCGATGCTATGAACCCCGAGCGGTGGTCCTGAGGCAAGAGAGCTGGCTAGAGACACGTGGTGGCTTTCTACGACGACAGGCAGGGCACCCGGGAGGAGGACACGTGGAGGCTACGTGGAGAGCATGCCGAACGGCCGGAAGCTTGTCTCCGGCGTCACGGCTATAAATACCCACAGTAGCTGCAGTGTAGGGGACTTTGGGACGATCGATAGGTTGTAACTAGAGACTCCCGACCGCAGTCAGTCGGTACTCAGGGCAACCAAGTAGATTGTACTTAGGAACTCTACCTTGATCAATAAAGACTTTACCTGCTTTAATTGGTCTTGTGTTATTTATATTGCTTACGTAGAATTAGCAGTATCATTTTGGCGCCGTCCGTGGGGATTCGTGCAACAAGCCAACGTCTTGACGAGCACCCGATCACCATACCAACATGTATCCGTGGGCACACAACAACTTCGCCGACGACCAGGCGGATGCGGCGAGCTCCTCCGACCACTATGCTACCCAACAGCAGGGTCAGACGATGGACCTCAACCTCAACCTTTCACCACCACATCCGTCAAATACATACCCGGCCGCCCAGCAGCCGGTAAATTACATACAACCGGGATACCCACCACCCGGTCTGCCATACCAGCAGCAGCCGATGATGTACCCCGCCCATTACCCGTACCCGGTCCCACCTCCACCATACGGGTATTGGCCAGGCCAACCGATGTGCTACACTTCCCCGGTTGGTTATCCACCATATACGCCTGCCTATACAGCTCCAGCCGCCGCCCCTCCAGTACAACCGACCGCACAAGTAGAGCCGCAGCGTCAGTCCACTTCCCGGGCTCGACGCTCGGCTCATTCGCGGTTGGGGTCGGGGGGTGCTGATGCGATGGAGGCACCGGCTCAGGCCATCCAAGCGGAAGACCCTGAAGAGGTTGCCCGAGCGGTAGCTTTTGATCGTCTTCGACCGGAGATGCGCCAGCGTTTGGGACCCCAAGACCCGAATCCCAGGCAAGAGGACGTACAAATGCAGGAAGCTAGCCACGAGGCCTCATCCGGGTACAGCGGGTCACGATCTCACCGACGTCGACGCGCTCGGGATACAGCCCAAGCCGCCCAGAACGCCGAGCTCAACGAAACCCGAGGGTTGCTCTACAACCTCCAGGCGGAAGTTGCGCAGCTAAGGAGTGCATATCCTGCAGCACCCCCGACCGACCGATCGACCCTCCACCAGACGCCTTTTACAGCGGCGGTAATGGCTCAGCCTTACCCGCTCGACTTAAAGGTCTCGGGAGAGAAGAGCTACGACGGTCGGACAGATCCTGAGGCTCACGTGAATGATTTTTTCAGCAATATGATGCTGAAGGGCGTTTCAGACGCCGTGATGTGCAGGGCCTTCTACTCAACCCTCACCGGTCGGGCAGCAGAGTGGTTCCGCACCCTGCCCCCGGGGTCGATCGACAAATTTGAGACCCTGGCGATCAAGTTTGTACGGAAGTTCATTACTTCCAAAGTGGTGAGGAAGTCTTACATGTACCTCGAGAAGGCCAAGCAGTTGGAAGGGGAAAGCTTGACCGACTTCCTTATCAAGTGGAAAGCGGCGGTCGGAGAGGTCGAACCCATGGATGATGCGACCGCCACCCACATGCTCCATATCTCCCTTCGGGCGGGGTACCTATACCAGGATTTCATCCTTCACCCCCCGACCACATACGAGGAGGCCCTCCGAAGGGTCACGGATTACGCCAATGCTGGTGAGGCGAATGCCGTGAAACGTTCACAAGAGGTCGGTTCTTCGTCCCGTAAACCGGCCGGCCGGGCGGAACATCGATCGGGAGACGATCATCCCCGATCCCGTACCAGGCCTGGTGAGTTTACGGCCTTAAACCGATCTGCAGCGGAGGCCATGCAGTATGCCCAATCCTGCAATCTCATCAAACTCCCCCATCCCGATCGAGACGGCCCTGATAAGAGTAAGCACTGTGCTTACCATCGATGCGCCAGGCATGATACCGAGGAGTGTGCCCACTTGCGCCAGTTGTTGGAAGATTTGCTCAATTTGGGAAAATTGGACAAGTGCACAAAGAAAAGAGAAGGACGAAGAGCTTACCGAGTGGAGGGACTTTGAAAAGGACTTGAAGCTTCGCTTTGCTCGACCTGAGTGTTGATCTGTTGCTCGGGGCTCTCTGAGGCTACCGACTGAAGCAGAAGAGTGAGGAAAGTTCAAATGAGGGCCCCAAAGGCCTATTTATAGGAGAGCATTTAGGCGGGAAACTCATCCACTTGCGTGACACGACCCGCGCTGACTCCGAGGCGCCGGTTGCAGTCGCAGAGGCCGGCAGTGGCCGACACGTGGCGAGGAAGGGAATGACAGCTGGCCGGTCGGTTTAGGAGCCGACGGTTGGACTTCTACATCCCGTCCCGTTTTTTCCCGGACGATCAAAAAGGCCCGGGTTGGGGGGCTCTTGGTAGGGAATATCCCGACCGACATAGCTTCACCACGACCGAGATGCCTTTGTCCTTTTGTCTATATCTTTGCAGGTAACAGGTCGGGCTCCTTGAGGAGAACCCGGTCGGGGACCGACCGGGAGTTGCCCGAGCGATGCTATGAACCCCGAGCGGTGGTCCTGAGGCAAGAGAGCTGGCTAGAGACACGTGGTGGCTTTCTACGACGACAGGCAGGGCACCCGGGAGGAGGACACGTGGAGGCTACGTGGAGAGCATGCCGAACGGCCGGAAGCTTGTCTCCGGCGTCACGGCTATAAATACCCACAGTAGCTGCAGTGTAGGGGACTTTGGGACGATCGATAGGTTGTAACTAGAGACTCCCGACCGCAGTCAGTCGGTACTCAGGGCAACCAAGTAGATTGTACTTAGGAACTCTACCTTGATCAATAAAGACTTTACCTGCTTTAATTGGTCTTGTGTTATTTATATTGCTTACGTAGAATTAGCAGTATCACTTGCCAATTTCATAGAGATCACAAAATCGCCTGAGCTTAGGAAATATCGAAGATTAGGAATCAATGGGGAATTTTGAAAACGTGCAAACAAGAAGAAGATCAGAAATTTTGAATCTGTTTTTAATATGATCAAAAGGACGAATACGCCCTTAATGAGCGATTCGCGTTTATATTTTGCTATCAATCTTCTTCGTTGGATCAAGAGCTACGTAAGGCTTAGATTCAACCTCATTTTTTACAGGAAGGAGTAAATGCACGCGAGCCCTTCCCTATATATATATATATATATATATATATATATATATATATATATATATATATATATATATATATATATGTTTAAGTTCCAGTGCGGGTGAATGCTTCCCGTGCGGTTGTGCGGGTGATTAATGTGTGTGAGTTTGCACTTAATGTGAGTTGTTGAAACTTTAAAGTGCATGAGTGTTGTGCTTAAGGTGCGTGAGTCTTGTGTTTAAGGTGCGTGAGTTTTGTACTTAATGTGCGTGTGTACTTAATGCGAGTTGTTGTTAAAACTTAAGGTACGTGTGTTTTTGTGCTTAAGGTGCGTGAGGGTTGTGCTTAAGGTGTGTGAGTTTGTGTTCTGAATGTATTTTGTTTGTATGTTTAATGTGCGTCTGTTGTGTACTTAAAATGCACCAATGTAATGCTTAAAGTGAGTTCACCCACACAACTGCACGGAAAGCACCACCCGCACTTGATCCATTCCCTATATATATATATATATATATATATATATATATATATAGGAGGAAAAAGTTCAGGTGCAAACTTTGGGTATTGTGTGAATTTGTGCATTACTATTACCCTTTCATTTTTGTTGATCGGTGGCTGTGATTGCATTCTAGTGTGGGTGCACGCGTTACCATGTGCATTGAGCACATGCTATCTTTTGAGTTGTAGAGATTGTAGGAGCATTTTTGTATTTTGCAATTTGCACCCATCCGCTGTAGGTTTTTTTATTTCTTATTTTCCCAAATCCGCGTCCCTCTCTATCGTGCGTTCACCGTCTTCTCAATTTTCAGTGCTCTATCTCCAGCGGGCTGCGAGTTCAGTGATGGCTAGGTCCAATGGCAGTCGCCGATCGAGGAGGGTTGCGTTAGGACATCAATTCGCGCCGACACTGGACGAGGCCGATTCTCACAGGGTGCAGTCGGCGTCTCGGTCTTTCAAGCGCCGGTCTGGTCACGGTCCTCCGCCTTCCACGGCGGGTGGTTCATTTGACCAGGCTACGGGGTAGCTTCCAGGGTCTCCGCAAGGAGTAGGGCGGCGCGCCGGTGGCCACAGCGAGGTGAGTGCCGGTTCTGATGCTCTCTTTGCATGTCGTTCATAGCTATGCGTGCGTTCATTTTGGGATGCATCACAGATGGTAGGTTTTGTATGCTGGAATAATGCTGGGGTGTGGGCCATTTTCCATGGGGGTTTACAATTTTATTTCGCATCAAACAGAGGTAGGGGGAGTAATTTGGAATTGCATTCTGGAGTAATGCTGGGGTGTGGGCATTCTATGCGTAAAATAGAATTCAATTTCAGCCATTGTTCTGGGCGAAATTAGCTTTTACAAATGAAAGTGATGTTGAAAACTAATGAATAGGTATGTATGTACTCACACACTCACGCTGTGAGTGCTCTATCAGGTATTTCCCGGAACAAACAAAATTTGGTGGGATGGTATTTGTAGGCATTTTGATGTTAAACCAATAGCTTCTGATAAATGATGCGAATATGATGGTGTGATTGGTTAGTTGGAATGGTTTAATGGGTAATATATGGTAGGGGGATTGGTGGTTGTTGATAAGGTCGAGCTTGTGGTATTGGAACTGGAATTAGAAGACAAAAACACAAAATAAGTATATGAAGAGCATTAAAATGAAGGGGAATTTATATTAGAAACCATTAAAAGTGTTATATAGCAGTAAAATATTTTACAGTGGCCTTAACACTCTATTGGGAACAATGGATTTTGAGTTGATTAAGAACTAAACCTAACACTAGAATAAAAAACTAGAACTGCCAGCAGCGCACACCGCCAATAAAAACTACTACAATTGTTAGTGCACACCTTCAATAAAATACTACAATTGTTAATATTCTCGAATGTTGTTCGTTTGTGAAGCTAATTACTAATATGGAGTAAATATCAAAATTAATAAATATGCTAGCTTTAATGCACATTGGAAGAACACAGGAGGCATGCAATTTTGTAAATGGAAGTTAGATTTAAAAAATGGGAGGAATATAATAAATAAGCTAAATATTATTATTGAGTAATGCTGGTTTGTGAAGCTAGTTGCTATTCTGGATTTAAGAAGCGGTATCATTTGTGAACTGTAGGTCTGAGTGGTATTTTGGTGCAATTTCAATTGTTATGTGCATGCATCCCAGTTCTGGTGCAATCGTGTTTGTATTCATATAGGTTAGGAACACATGCACTAGTTTGGCACCACCAAATATAAGGGGTTGGCTAATAACTATGCTGGAAATAAGAAAGCTGAATCATTGGTGGAAAAATTAGCTAGTTAATGAATAAGATAGTATTAATGCACATCTATACAACACAGTAGGAGTTCACAGTGCATGATAAAAGAAGCACGGAGTAAATATCAAAATCAATAGATATGCTAGTTTTAATGCACCGTATTATGCGACATAGCTTCTTAATTTCCAATTGTTGCTACATTTACAATGACCTGCAATTTTAGGACTTGTTCTAAGCTTCATTTGCACTAATCAATTGCGGTATATCTCTGTGTTGCCCCAGGTTGTGATGCTCAACAACCGGTGGTGTTAAGCGATGAGGAAAGTGACACGGATGAGGATTTTCATACCCCACCACGTGATCCCGAGGAGCTGGAGAATGTGGAACCAGTGCGTGGTGTGCCTCCACATGGAAGCCTCCCGTTCTCCCAAATCAAGACAGGAGGGAGGCCAAGGGAACTCGTACGCCTCGTGGCCTTACTTACTCTACGACAGAGGCAAGATGTTTGTTCTATTGTCACACGCGTTGGGGAGTATGATCGCGGAAGGTCCACACGACTGCTCCAAGTATTAGAACAACCGCCTCAGTAACAACCATCCAACTCAAGGGCTGACCCGGCAAAAATTTAGATTCATAGTGCAGCAGAAGCAATGACGTGGGGAGTTTCTCTACCCGCTGGTTTCTGTGTATAAAGCCCATGGGGTAACTTGTGCAACAGTGCAATCCATTTCTTTTTTGTTACGATTATTGTGCGGCAGGAGCAAATTCAATCATTTAATTGGACTAAGTTGTGCAGCAGTGCAATCGAATGCATTAGGAACGTCATGTGTCAATTAAATGTTGTAGTAATCTGGTCAATTACAAACTTGTCTAACATGGACACACAGCGGTGCGTGGATTTTATCATGGACGTACACTCGTCATCCCACAAACCACCACCTACATACTAAGCAACGCATGATAATTTTCCCATCCCGACCTCGCTTCATGGTGTTGTGCCGAACGTCAAAGCTGCATGGTCGTGCGTAGTTGACATAGAACTGAATGCCTTCTGTAGTGTTGGAAAATGGCATCCAAGGTGTTGTGCCGAACGTCAAAGCTGCATGGTCGTGCGTAGTTGACATAGAACTGAATGCCTTCTGTAGTGTTGGAAAATGGCATCCAACGACAGGCGTGATTGCAACGTCCATAGTCGGCCACCAAAATTTAATAGGTGCGGTAGTTAACTCCGTCGCACTATGTGGCACACTCCCGCTCACCATCTCCCCCTCAACATTGCAAACAAACATGTGAACAGCCATACTAGGAAATAGATAAAATAGTAGAGTATTGTAGTGGACAGAGTCAGTGAAGGCTAAGTATTAGATCAACACATTTCAGACTACAGGAGAAATGCAATTTTCACAGGGTGCACCCAATTGCAACCCCGGTGCATCACCTACGGGTGCACTACAAGGGAACTATCCGAATGCATTGCAAAGAAGGGCAGTGTCCCAAGGTGCATTCCAATTCCGAGTGAATGCTCGACCCCTATACATTCTGGACAGTAATCTGCTCTACTTTACTAGTAGCATGAAAATGAAGGGGAATTTTGAGTACAAACCATTAATGGCCCGTTTGGTTCACAGAATAGGCCGGGAATGGCATAGCATTCCCAGTAATAGGCCTATTCCTTTGTTTGGTAACTATTTCTATTACCAGGAATAATATTCCTGGTAATAGCCTATTACCTCAAATAAGGTAATAGCTATTACTAGGGCCCCCCTGGTATTAGCCTATTACTGAACGCTCAGGAATAGATTTTAGAATCTATTTCCCTTTTTTACCCCTAATAAGGTAAAAGTGTTATCTAGCAGTAAAATTAAATTACAGTGGCCTTAACACACTTTTGGGAAAAATTGATTTTGAGGTGATTAAGAACTAAACCCAACACAAGAATAACAAACTAGAACTGTCAGTGCACACCTCCAATTAAACCATTTATTTACTTGTGCATTCTTCGCACTTATTCTACCTTTTTCCATTTCGATTATAAATACTGAAATTCTATTACTACGGATTCTATTCCTTTTAAGATTTAAATCAGAAAATTAGTCCTTTGTTGGCCAGTGTCATAAGTTGGACTTCACCCGGAGTGCTATTTAACTCCTTGTGGTACTTTACCGGGCTAAAGTCATAAGGTGGGTCGTGGGTTTCACCCAGAACGTTGTTTACCTCCTTGTGGTCTTTTATCGACTAGGGTCACAAGGTGATCAGCTTCACCCAAAGTGCGCCTTGGGCTATAATTTCATGTAAATCATAGATTGACTGCATTTTTTTAATTCTAATTTAATTGGCAGGGAAAATGAGGCAAATTGCAGGCAGACAGCAACTTCCTACCCAATGGGATTGGAATTATTTGACTAAGAGAACTTGGTAGGTTGATTGATCAATTCGTCACAGGCAAGGGAAAGCCATTGAAAACACACTGTGAAATTAATTAAAAGGCACAGTTAAATGTGAAAAGTCATCCAGTCCAACCACCTCTATAAATTGCATGTTAATCCAAACATTCCCCACACATAATCTCTTTTCCCTCTACCCTCCAAACAATCCTTTTTGCAAACTGTACTAATTAACACACATCAATGGCTATCATTACCTCCCAAATCAATTTGTGGCTCAAGAAAGGCTGCAGCCATGGCATAATTGCATAATTAATGGAGTGACTACTAGAATTGTTAGTGCACACGATCAATAAAATACTACGATGAATATGAAGCCACTAGCAGTATTAAAACTAGAATCCATAATCATTGAAGAAGCTAAGTAACACAAAGGGAAAAAATTGCAGAATAAGATTATGGTTCATATTCATTGAAGAAGCTGGTGTCGCGAACACGTACTCATTAAGAAGCATAGAGTAAAAATGTAAAATTATGCCTCCCAAGAACAAAAGATAATGCAGAATAGACATCCCAAGATGTTATGGGGATCTAATCATAAATAAATGAAGAAACAAAGTTGTACTAGGAATAATGCATGATAACCATCCTCGGTTGCACAAGCTTTAAACATTCCAGTTGTGTTAAATGGCATCGTGACCTCTCCAGTGGCAGCACACTCGTGTATGACGTGATCGGCTGCCTCCGTGAGAGAAATCCCTTTGTACTCCATCAGAGCGGCTACATCTCTTACTACAGTAGCACGGATAATTGCTTCCCCAAATGAACGCCATTACCAAGAAAAACAAAGGAAAAAACAAGGAGGTAAGGAACCTGTTATCGCAGAAGCCGCCGTAGTAACCGTCGGAAGTCCATCGCTGTGCATCTCCACCGTCTCGCTGAAGCAGCGCAGTCCAAGGAATCTCCACCGTGATTACCGAAAAACAAGCATGGGAATAGGACGTCTCTAGAGTTCAACTCGATTAAAAAAAAATGGTGCCAAGTAGAGAGTTAACTAAACACAAAACATGTTGAGTGCTTAGAAACTTCTTCTAACAATTTGGTCGAGCAATGTGGCAAAAACAATTAAATAACAGGTAATGAACAATAGAAGTAATAAAGAAAACGGTTTGGACTAAGCCAACCCTTGCATAGTTGTTATGGGTGCTTTAACTCCTTTAAGGTTAGGGATCATACAAAGGCTTAGCAAGTATAAAGGAAAATGCAACAAAGATGTTAATGTAATTTTCATGGCCATTGGACTACCAATTAGCAATGAATGTCGTCACACTCATGGCAATCCAATTGAAATGAGAACATTTTATCAAACACATAACATACAAGTCTTCTTCCAATCTCCTTTTATCAAAGCAAGATCAGATTGAAATTGCGAGTAGTGTGACTATAGTGTTATCCCATTCTCATAGGAACAACACATATTCAAAAATTCTCAAGCATAATTGGACCGTAATTATACAAGAGTCCATATAAAGAACTAACACACAACAAGAACTTTAGCTAATTCAATACATCATCCATTTACACAACTTAATTCATAGAACCATCTATTTATAGGGGAAGAAGAAAGACTAAATGTAAAAATCATGTTCAGAGGCTCGTTTAGCTCTAAAGTATCAACAAAATCTTATTTTCAGGTAAATTCAGATATACATGTCTAGGATTTCTGTACATGATGTATTGATCTCGAGCTAAGTTCCTTGTCTACAAAAATGATATGACATTAGCATCAGCAAACTAGCAATTCTTGATTTCTCAGCCCTTCTTGGTGCAGTGAAGGTGATGAACACCGATATGGAGTAACTGAGATTAGCAATGCATTCTCAAGTTCTCTGGATAAACCTCGGCTAAGAAGTGAAATGATGTAGTCCAAGAAGGCTGCATCACATGGTAGTGTAATAGGCCCATCGCATGGAACCCCATATTCTTCTTCTGACAAGTTTAAGAGTTGCATAATAATCTCATTCTCGAGATAAGATAGAGGGACTACAAACCGCTTTTGATCAGCTGTGTAGATAGCAAAATGACCCTTGTTAACTGCAGAAGATGTAATGCAGCTATCAGTGTCATCATTTTTTCTTGGAAAGGAAATCCTCTTTCTTCGGATGGCAGCAAATTTCTGCCATCTTTTCACCAACTTAATGAGTTTCTTGGAATTGATCATGGTACTAACTTAGGAAATAGAGAAGGAAAGAGAGTAAGATTGGTAGAAACCTTGGATATTGCCTGGAAAAAGTTGTAGTGTTTGATGATCTAAATTCACATGGAAGCAACCTATTTAAAGTGCTTAAGAGGCAATGCCAAGCTTCAACTTCTTGAGGAAATCAGGGAAGGCAAAACCATGTTCCCCCAGCTGTATGGGGCCTTTTAGACATACAAATAAGGAATCACATGGTTTTGTTTCCCAATCTTCATATTGATTCAAACAAATTGAATAAGCTATTTTCTAGGCGAACACCATTAACTTACTGATCTGTGGATTGATCAATGACAGAAGTAGTTGAGCTTTCCACATCTGTTCAATTTCATTGAAGCATTTGGTGAGTGATGTCCAAAGTCAGTAGAAATCCTTCAAGATTTTTGGAAGACAAAACCATGTGGTAATGTTGTCCTATCATTCTAGCTGGCCTCTGATCCAAATTTCTCATAGCCACTCAATCCACCTCCTAAAGGATCTATATATATAAATGCATTTGAGCCAATGTTCACCCCACTCAAGTTCTTCCTTCACACAATCCTAGTTTCTCCATTCACAAATTCTGTCCAAAGCCTGTACTTTCCCAAAAAAAAAAAAACATTTGAAGATGGCAATTGGTATGGGGCACATTCTCCGTGCTAAGCAAGGCCTCAGGAGATCATCTTCAAAAACAAACAGAGAAAGTGAAGTGCCTAGGGGTCATTTTGCAGTTTATGTTGGGGAGAGTGAAAAGAAGCGCTTTGTCATTCCAGTTTCATACTTGAAGGACCCTTCATTCCAAGACTTGCTGTGTCAAGCTGAAGAAGAATTTGGATTCGACCATCCAATGGGTGGACTCACAATACCTTGTATGGAGGATACCTTTCTTGACATCATCTCTAATTTGAGATCTTGAGAGACTACAGACAGCTTAGTCTAGTGAAGAAAAATTTTGCATAGAAGAGTTTTCCTGTACAGTTTATTTGTATAGATTTTTGTCTGCATTTGTGCAGTAAATATGAAAATATCAGAAAGTCTGTCCAATTTTCAACAAATCATATATTTCTACTCCAACTTATTGCACTGAATATACTTTGAGTAAAACTAGCTGTACAATATTTCTTCAAGGAAATTCAAAATTCATTATGATTTTTGAAGACAAAACCATGTGGTAATGTGTCTTATCATGCTAGCTGGCAGAGTGGCTTCCCTCCCATTCAAAATTCTTTTAGCCACTCAATCCCACTTCCCAAAGGGTCTATATAATCACAATTGAGTTGGTATTCACCCTACTCAAGTTTCTTCCCTCCCAATTATTTGTATAGCCTCTTTGATTCATAATGCCTATACTTTCAGAAGAATTATTTGAACATGGCAATTAGTATTGCACGCATTCTCCATGCTAAGCAAGGCCTCAGAAGGTCTTCTTCAAGAACAAACAGAGAAAGTGAGGTTCCAAAGTGACACCTTGCAGTTTATGTTAGCGAGAGCAAAAACAAACGCTTTGTTATTCCAATATCGATCATACTTGGTGGCCCCTTCATTGCAAAACTTACTTAGTCAGGCTGAGGAAGAATTCGGATTTGATCATCCAATGGGTGGACTTACAATACCTTGTCCGGAGGATACCTTCCTCGACATCATCTCTAGTTCAAGTAGATACTGAGAGTCAACAAACAGCTTAGTTTAGTAAAGAGAATTTTTGCATAGGAAGTATTCTTGTACAGTTTTCCACAATTTTCAGCTGTCCCATTATCAGCTTAGAATCTGTAAATTTCACTGATTATACAGAATCTCTAAATGTCTTTGTAGCTCTAAACATAGTTCTTTAGTTAATTTCCCTATTAAAATCACCATGGTAACTAGTAGGATTAAGAGAGAATCAATGACTTCACGGAAAAACATTATTGATTCTTGTCTGCTTTTTTCCTCAATCCATTAATGTCTATAATGTTCTTCAATTTGAAGAGCTTCACCAAAAATGGAGGGTGGAATTCTAATGTTCTTTCCTTTATACTCTGTATCTGAATTTCAAGTTCTCTAGAGAGATTAAATACATGACAGTTGGCGAAGAATTTGAAGCTATGAACATAATTTGATTTTCTTAGACGATCACTAAATGTATTAGATATCAAGTCTTTGAATTTCTGTACATTTCACATCATGTGTTGAGCTACAGCTGAGTTACTTGTCTATAAAAATGATTGATATTAATTATATCAGCAAACTAGCAATTCTTGATTTCTCAGCCCTTCTTGGTGCAGTGAAGCTGATGAACACCGATATGAAGTAACTGAGATTAGCAATGCATTCTCAAGTTCTCTGGATAAACCTCGGCTAAGAAGTGAAATGATGTAGTCCAAGAAGGCTGCATCACATGGTAGTGTAATAGGCCCCTCGCTTGGAAGTCCAAATTCTTCTTCAGACATACTTAAGAGTTGCCTAATGATCTCATTCTCGAGATATGATAGAGGGACAACAAACCGCTTCTGATCAGCAGTGTAAATAGTGAAATGACCCTTGTTAACCGCAGAAGAAGTACTGCAGCTATCTGCATCATCATATAGACTTGAAAATGAAATCCTCTTTCTTCGGATGGCAGCAAATTTCTGCCATCTTTTTGCCAGCTTGATGAGCTTCTTGGAACTGATCATAGTGCTAACTTAGGAAATAGAGAGAAATTGAAGGGAAGAGAACAAGATCTGCAGAGAGTTGTAGGTGTTTGATGATCAAAATTGGATGAGAAGAAACCTATTTAAAGTGCTTCAATTTCTTGAGGAAATCAAGTAAGGCAAAACCACGTTCCACCCAGCTGTATGGGGGGCCTTCAAGACATACAAATAGGGAAACACATGGTCATATGTGTCCCAATCCAATTCAAATAAGATATTATTTAGGCAAATACCATTAACTTAGTGCTGTGTATATTGATCTCTCATTTGGTAGGTTTTCTCGGAATGACAAAGGTAGTTGAGCTTTCCCCATTTATTGAAGCATATGGTTAGTGATGTCCAAAGGTAGTAGAAATTGTTGATGATTTTTTGAAGACAAAACCATGTGGAGATGTTGTCTAATCGTTCTAGCTGGCTGGCCTCTGATCCAAATTTCTCATAGCCACTCAATCCACCTCCTAAAGGATCTATATATATAAATGCATTTGTGTTGATTCTCACCCCACTCAAGTTCTTCCTTCACACAACTCCTAGTTTCTGCCTTCACAAATTGTGTCTATACTGAAAAAATTTTCAGAAATCCTACTTTCCAAAAAGCATATTTGAAGATGGCAATTGGTATGGGGCACATTCTCCGTGCTAAGCAAGGCCTCAGAAGATCTTCTTCAAGAACAAACAGAGAAAGTGAAGTTCCTAAGGGCCATTTTGCAGTTTATGTTGGGGAGAGTGAAAAGAGGCGTTTTGTCATTCCAGTTTCGTACTTGAAGGACCCTTCATTCCAAGACTTGCTCAGTCAATCTGAGGAAGAATTCGGATTTGATCATCCAACGGGTGGACTCACAATACCTTGTATGGAGGATACCTTTCTTGAAGTCATCTCTAGTTTGAGATCTTGAGAGACTACAGACAACTTAGTTTAGTGAAGAAAAATTTTGCATAGAAGACTTTTCCTGTACAGTTCATTTGTATAGATTTTTGTCTGCATTTTGGCAGCAACTTTGAAAATATCAGAAATGCTGTCCAATTTTCACCAAATCCTATTCCAAATTGTTGTGGTGAATATACTTAGAAGTAAAACTAGCAGTAAAATATCTCTTCAAGGAAATTCAAGGCATATTATATTCTACACTCAATGTTAAGCAATAAACTTTTGCAAGTTCAGAATAAAGGAATAATCTTGAGAACAGTCTATATTGAAAAATAAAATGAAGCTACCAGTAAACTTTAGTGCAGAGGATTTACTACAACTATTCACACAGACCTTGTGTCTTAAAAATGAAATCTTCTTTCTTTAGACAGCAACAAATATCTTCCATTATATTTCACTGGGAAATTGATGAGTTTCTTGGAACTAATCATGGTTTTGGCAAGAAGGGTAAACAATGGCGTAAAGTATGCATCCAATCAGATTTCCAACTAGTCTGGAATACCTTTAACGACTCTTCCATGGACTTCTCATACACCAACCATGATTAGTTCCAATCAGATATGTTAGCAGATATGTTAGCAGATCAGTGAATATGCAGGCTCATAACTTAGCCCGGGCTGCACACTCGAATGCTGGTCGTTGTATCTGGGAAGATTCCCCGCCCCACTGTATTCGAGTTTTGATTAATTGAATCTTTTTCTTCAAAAAATAAATCATGGTTTTGGCAAGAGCATTGACATCTATGGCCAAGATATTCATCTTTAATTTGCAGGTTTACGCAAATAGTGTGGTCAGGGTGAAACTTCCATGTTAACCATCACACAAAGGTGCCAGATTAGTATATATATACGACGTAAGAAATGAAAGAAAATGAGATAACAAGACCATATTAATAATGGTAACACTTAATTACCATTATTAATAATAATGGAAAAAATGAAGTGACATGAGTAATCTTATCAATGTACTAAATATAGTAGATTACCATGAATGAATAATTATTATGAAAGATAATAAATGAGATTAGCCCCTAAACTTAATACAATTAATTAATAATCTAAATTAATAATAATTACAATAAATGTAAAACTGTAATTAAGGGATGCTAAATACTAATCTCAATTTACCACATAATAATTAATCAAGACTGTAATGAGTCGGAGACTAAAATTAAGGTATAACCAAATTACCAATAATGTAAAGGCAACATAAATATGTACATTGCTTACCATTAAGAAAACAGAATATTATTGTTAAGGCCCTGAAAACTATTAATAGATTAAAAACATAATTAACTTAAATAATAATTATAATTCTTAATGGCCAAAACAATAATTATAATTCTTAATGACTTAAAACGGTAATTGTAATCCTTAAACCCTTAATGACTCAAAATCACGCAATGATAATAATTATAGCACTAAATTGCTTAAGTCGGGACCATGAACCTTTATGGCCCAAGTTAGTTATAACATGAATGATAAATGTTCTAATATGGAAATAGATCTAAACATTAAATTATCACCAACAATAAATACCGTTATAAAAAATACGGTAGTTAGTAATAATTGAACCTTAATAAACATGTTATAATCAAATAAAAGAACTACAATTATTATTAAAATATCAATCAAAGAGGTGGAATCCATACTTTAATGACCCAGATAGGTCTTAAATAGCTTGTTCAAAATAGGTTTTAAAGTCCCAAGTAAAAAATATGACTAAAGTATGCTCAAAATTAAATGAGAAACCGACAAACTAACTTAATAGGCTATATTGTCCAAAATTAGCCTAAGGATCCAAAATTGAATGATATTTAATATATAGGCTATGAGTTAATAATATGCTATATCCAACCTTAATATATGCTTTTTGAAATTTATACTTATAATAAAATAATTTAAAAAATATACAAAGCATGTTTGGATTTTACAAAGCATGCTCGTAGTCGCCGACAACCAGTCCGGCGAAAGACAAATTCATGCGAAAGAAAAAAAACGATTAATGCAAGAAAAAATAAATCCAGCAATAACCTTAAAGCAGGATGTAATTTTGATTCAATAATCAAAATAAATCTCAATTCCATCAGCACAAAATTTAGATAAAAAGATTTTTGTATTCAATAATACAAACAACCAGGCAGAGATTTGTAGGGCTCTGATACCAAATGTTAGATAATAAATTTAGTCTAACATGAATTGTAGTAAACGAATAACCTGCCTCGTTACAGCGGAAGCTTTAGGTTCACCCGGATATCCCCAGCCATAGTCGTTGGTATTGCCACGAGATGGTAAACCTGCATAATAAAGGTATGTGTTTTTGTCTACCACTTCTCTCCCGAATACGTGATGGTGCGTGTCCTGAACACGGGAGCTGTGGGAGGACTGTTTTGCTTAGAAGCCTACATGCCATCAACGTAGGCAGATATTCAGTTAAAGCTTAACTGAATATCCTGAGTTGCATAACAGATTAAGTCACTAATTGACTCAATCTCCTACTTGCACCACAGCCACCCAATAATACAATATATTATAATATATTGTATTTAGGGAAAATACTTACAGCTTTCTCATCATATGCTTCAAATTACATCTTCCTTCTCCTTATTCTTGGTAGTTGGCGCAGCGATGCTAGGACAGAAATGGAAGTGGCAAAATCTTATTGTTACAAATTCAATTAGGCAATTATATAGTTTAATGCTTTTGAATAAAATTTATGCAAATAAGCACTTGTCATAGGTATAACAGTATAAGTGTATTGCAACAAACTGAAGATTAAGGAGAATATGGAAGCAATGAATATAATTGAATTTTCTAATAAGAATACTGAACATACATATTGGATATCAAGTATTGGGGTATTGGATTTATATATGTACATTTGACATCATGTATTGAGCTACAACTAATATATATCCTCATTTACAAAATTTATTGAGATTAATATGAGCAAACTAGCAATTCCTGATTTCGGAGTAACGGAGCTGATGAACACCGATGAGAAGTAACTGAAACGAGCAGTGCATTCTCAAGTTCTCTAGATAAACCTTGGCTAAGAAGTGAAATGATGTAGTCCATGAAGACTGCATCACATGGTAGTGTAATTGGCCCATTGCTTGGAAGTCCAAATTCTTCTTCAGACATACTTAAGAGTTGCCTAATGATATCATTCTCGAGATATGATAGAGGGACAACAAACCGCTTTTGATCAGCAATGTAGATAGTGAAATGACTGATAAGAGTCTAAATGTTGATAATTTCACCGTACATTTAAGCTTATTTTCTTTGTTATTTGTTATAATTTTTCCCAAAGTGTCCTCATTTGATTCATTTGTGTGTTTATGTGTAATTCTTGATGATTTAGATGAATTGGCTAATTTTTGGGGCATTTCGGATGCATGTAGAGCCAATGAGAGTCAATGAGAAGCTGTGAAGATGGGGGAAACACCTTTTAGAGAGCCAAATTATGGTGTATTTAGTGGTCTTGGTCATTTAGACAAACAAAGGCAAAAGTGGAGCAAAAGAGCAAGAAGTTGAAATTCCCGCACAAATCGTCCACTGCTCGGTATTTTGGTCATATCTCAGCGTAGGAGTGTCAAAATCAAGTGATTCTTGTTCCATTGGAAAGAGAACTTGAATGTCTACAACTTTGCTTCAAGCACCAAAGGCTAATTCAAACGTTTCAAGGGTGAAAAAGTACTTAGAAGACAGACTCAATGCACAGGCAGTGCACACTACCTGTGGCCACTGGGCAGTGTAAACTGCATTTCTGGCCACAGGTGTGGCCAGACCCGTGGCCAGCCCTTTGTAACTCATACTAGCGCGTTTTTTTACCCTTTTTAGGGGATTTTCCCACCCCAAAACACATCTTTCATTATATCTTTCATTTCCCTTTCATTCCTTAGTTAGGTTTAGCTCTAGTATAGCTTAGATTAGTGTAGATTTCTTGTTCCTTTCCATTTCCAAGCTCAAGAACACATTTCAATCTTGGATTTCAAAACATCAATAGAGAAGTTTTCTTATTATCTCTTATCTTTACTTTTCATCTATGCTTTCAATTACTCATTTAATATTGTGTATCTATTGTTATATTATGAGTAGCTAAGTGTTTTGGGACTAGGATTTGGTTTGTGTTAAGGAATATATATTTTATATATAGAATCTCTATATATTAGGCAGTTTAGGGTTTTAGGTAGGTAGGACATATGGAAACATGTTTCCTATTCGTAGTTTTCTAGTACCTATTTATAGGGCTTTGTATTTTCTATTTCTATGAGAGTTTGATATAATATATGACAGCACATTAGAAACTCTCTCTCTTCACTTTCGTAACATGGTATCTGAGCCTTTACGATAATGTTTTTTTTTCCGCTCCGTTGTTGTCACGCTTTGACTAGCGCGTGAGCCTCACGTGCCGCCGGCGCGTGAGGCTCCTCCAACGATTGAAAAACGTTTTGGTCAACTTGTTCCTGGGTCGCCTAAGTTTGTTTGTCTTGGTTCTGGACTTAGTTTTGACCATTGACTTTTGTTCTACGGTCAGTTTGTCTCGTTTTGGTGCTGTCTTGTTTTGTGTTTTAGTGCTGTCTCGTTTTGTGTTTTGGTGTTATCTTGTTTTGGTGCTGCCTCGGTTTGGTGTTATCACTCTTTCGTTTTGGTGTTATCTCTCCTTTTTTGATGCTCGTCGATGGGAGCATGCTTCCCTTTTGTTAGTCAAGATACTTCCTTTTTGCTAGTAAAGAATTTGTGTCCTCCAGTTTGGAGTTTGTCTTCTTTACTTTGTGTGTCCAAGCTTGTTCGGTCCACTTTTGGTTCACCCGGAGTTGCGGTATTGGTGGAGTCCAAGCTTCTGGTTCAGGGGAGGGTTCAATCCCAAGCTTGTTCGGTCCACCACGTTGAGTTCACCCAACTGTCCGTAGGTATTGGTGGCGTTCACAGCTTTCGTTTCAAGGGGAGTATCCAATTTCAAGCTTGTTCGGTCACTTTGTGTTCACCCATTGTTCTTTGTTCGTGGGATTCGTGGCGTTCGAAGCTTTCGTTGGAGGGGGAGTATGAGTATCCAATCTCAAGCTTGTTCGATCAAAGGAGTGTCCTAAATGGACTTGAGTTATTTGTTATTTAGGGTTATCATTCATTTGTGTAACAAGTTGGGCATTATTAAAATATATGCTCCAACTTGAGGGGGAGTGTTAAGGAATATATATTTGATATATAGAATCTCTATATATTAGGCAGTTTAGGGTTTTAGGTAGGTAGGACATATGGAAACTTGTTTCCTATTCGTAGTTTTCTAGTACCTATTTATAGGGCTTTGTATTTTCTATTCCTATGAGAGTTTGATATAATATATGACAACACATTAGAAACTCTCTCTCTTCACTTTTGTAACAGTTTGATTTCTTTCTATTGATGTCTATTTGAGTTGTATTGCATAAAGGGGATTATTTGGGTGTTCTAGGGTTAGTTGTGTGATTTTGGATTGTTATGAAATTGTGTATAATTGTTGGATCCCAATTATATGCTTTATTTGGAGTGTGTTTGTTGCTACGAGAGTAGAGCTTGTACACTAGCCACACATTCACACACTTATAGTCCGTTTGGTTCACGGAATAGGCTGGGAATGTCATAGCATTCCCAGTAACAGACCTATTCTTCTGTTTGGTAACAATGTGTATTACTAGGAATAATGTTCTTAGTAATAGCCTATTACCTCAGATGAGGTAATAGCTATTACCAGGGGCCCCCCTGGTATTAACTTATTCATGAGTCCTCAGGAATAGAATATTTTTTTTTTCAATTTTAACCTTATCTTTCTCGCCGTTCTCTCCCTACGTATCATTCTACCCTTCCCCGATTCCTTCATCATCATCGATTCCTTCATCATCAACATCAAGAAATTTTTCCAGCCACATCAAATTAAAGCATCATCAACATCAAGCAAATCTTTTTGCCACATCAAATTAAAACATCAAAGGTAAATTTTCAGAATTTTATTTTTTACCAATTACATATTTAATTATATATATATATATATATATATATATATATATATATATATATATATATATATATATATATATATATATACACACACTGCTGCGGCGCGGAGGGTTCCGCAGCCGCAGCAGTTTTGTTTAATTTTTTTTTTAATTAGTTTAGTTTATTATATCATTAATGTAATTATCACAAAATTTATATAGAATGACAAAAGACTCTAGGTCCAAAGTGAGGAATTCTGTTAGCAGTCATCGACTTAAAGAGTCAGCTTAATTAGTTTGATTCTATAATGATAGACTTGGTGGGAGTACCAGATAATGATATGTTCATCTAATAATTTACACATCTAATATCAATCAAAGTTTATTTAGTTAAGATTAAGGTTGACACACAAATAATCTTTAACATAGAAATTGATGAAAATGAAAGAAAAGATTGAATTTTTTTTTTTTTTTATCTTGAATTGAATTGTAATACTTAGTTAGGAATTGTAATACTTACTCAGGAATTGAAAATGGATGGGTCCTTGACTTAGTTTTTTATTATTTTTTTGGTTTTTAGTTTAGTTTATTGTTTATTGTTTTTTTTTTTTTTTTGCTGAAAAGTGTTATTGTTTATTTGGTTTTGTTTTTTTGTCATAGCAATGTTATTGTTTTTTTTTTTTTACCGTAGTGTTATTATAATCTGTATAAGTTATTGTAAGTTTTAAATTAAATTTACAGTTATGGCTCGATTGCGTTTAATAACTCGTACTGAAAGAAGGAAAAGATGTGTAGCTGTATTGCGTGTATGGTTGGATATGTGTGCTTCTGTGAGTTTATTGTTTATCATGATGATGTCAACCTTGACAATTTTGTGTTCTAATAAAAAACGAGTGAGATCTTATATTATGAATACTTTAGGGTCTCGATTATATATGTTACGAACTGTGTATTCGTGTGATGAAAAATGCATATCTCAACTTAGGATGAATCGACATGCTTTTGTAAAGTTGTGTGCAATGTTACAAACTATAGGAGGGTTAAGGCCAACAAGAAATGTGCTTGTTGATGAGCAAGTAGCAATATTTTTACATATTATTGCTCATCACGTAAAAAATAGGATCATTCAAAATAATTTTCAAAGGTCGGGGGAAACTATTAGTCGATACTTTAATATAGTATTGAATGCTGTTTCGAAACTCCGAAATCATTTATTCAAAGATTCTGAACCAGTTCCAGCTACCTCTACAGATCATAGATGGGAATGGTTTAAGGTAGTTAAACATATCCCTACAGTTGAGTTATAAGTTTAATTACAATGTGAATATATATTTAATAATATTTGATATTATTTCTAGAATTGCCTAGGCGCTTTAGATGGAACTTTCATTAGAATACAAGTGTCATCAGAAGATAAACCTAGATATCAATCTCGCAAGGGTGAAATTGCAACAAATGTATTAGGTGTATGTGCACCTAATATGCAATTTGTGTATGTTCTTCTGGGATGGGAAGGATCTGTAGCAGACAGTAGAGTTCTTCGGGATGCATTATCTAGAAGACATCCACTTAAGGTCCCTAATGGTAAGCATTATAATATTAAATTCCAATTATCATGTAATATAATATGCATTCGTATTAAACTATAAACTTATGTTTCTAGGTTGTTACTACTTAGTTGACGGAGGATATGCTAATAGTGAGGGATTTTTGGCACCATTTAGAGGTCAAAGATACCACTTAAATGAATGGCGTCAAGGTCATCAACCGACAACTCCTCAAGAATTCTTTAATATGAAACATGCAGCTGCTCTAATGTCATAGAACGCTGTTTTGGATTATTGAAAATGAGATGGGCTATACTTAGAAGCCCATCATTTTATCCTGTTAGAATACATAACAGAATTATACTTGCATGTTGTTTGCTGCATAATTTTATTAGAAATGAGATGAATGTTGATCCTATGGAAGAGGAATTCGTACAAAGTAACGTCATACTTGAAGATGATGATGTCACACAAATAGAGCCTTCAGAAGTTTGGAATAATTGGAGGACAGAATTAGCAAATGACATGTTCAATGAATGGATATCATCTAGAAATTAAGGACATGTTCATTGATGTTTGATTTTGTGATTTGGTGTTTTTTTGTAATGTGGTTTATGAACAATGTAATGTGTTTGAGTTTGATGAATAATTTATTATTTCAATTTATTTGTAGTTAAGAATGGCTTCTCCCCCTACTTCTGCAACCATTGGATCTCAAAGTGTTAAGCAAACAAAAAGAAAGTGGACACCCGAAGAAGACATTATATTAGTGTCCTGTTTGACTGAAATGCATACTGTAGGAAAATTTAATTCCGATACAGGGTTTAAGACAGATTATTTATTAGAACTTGAAAGAATGATTTTGAACAAAATACCAAATTGTACCATAAAAGCTAAGCCACATATTGAGAGTAGAATTAAAACTTTGAAAAAAGAATGGAGCATTATTCATGATATGGTGCAAGGTAAGAACACTAGTGGGTTCGGTTGGAATGATCAAAAGCACATGGTGTATGCTGAAGATGCAATTTGGGAGTCATACTTAATTGTAAGTATTTACTTTTTTTTTTTTGTACTTTCATTTATTTTTATTAATGTATACATACAAATAATTTATTTATGTTTATTATAGAGTCACAAAGAAGCTGCCCCTTTTAGAACAAGAAGCTTTAGGTTTTATAATGAGTTATCTGCAATATATTCTAAAGATCGTGCAACTGGAAAAGATGCACAGACAGCAGATGACGTAGTTGAAGAAATACAAGATGAAGAACAGAATGATATAAGAGCTGACACAGAAGATAGTGCATTTGTTGGTTTGGATGATATTGATTTAACGAGTACACAACCTGAGCCACAAAATGATGGTAGAAAAAGAAGCAATTCAAGTAAGAGAAAGAGGAGCCATGATGAAGCTATTGAGATATGTGCTGAGAATATGCTTAATGCTGCGAAGCTAATAAGCAATACAATGTCAGAGGTTGGTAAGAATCTGTCTGATGGTCTTCAATATGATCGTGATATGGATATGTTTCAGAAGCTTGAACGTGCATTAAAAGAGGTTGATGATTTGGCAAATGATGAAATGGACCTTGTTTCGTTTAAGCTCACTGATCATCCTAATAAAGTAGCTTTCTTTCTCAGTCTTGATCCTGATCGAAGACTACAATGGATCAGAAGATTCCTTGCTATCAATTAATCATTTTATGAACATTGTAACTTGCATTGGATTGTTTTGAGTATTTTGTTAAAAATAACATATGTTATGCTTCTTTTGAATATTGTTAAATGTTCTTTACAAAAGTTTGTTATTTATATGACTATTTTGTTTTGAGTATTAATCACTTGATATGACGACGATGATGATGATGATGATGATATATAATAGTTGTTGTAATAATAATAATAATAATAATAATAATAATAATAATAATAATAATAATAATAGTTTTTGTAAAAGGGCATTTATATCTTTTAAACATATATACTATTCCAATTCCTTAACCAACCAAACATTGGAATACAGTTCCCCATGTCTATTTCTTTAGCGAACCAAACAACAGAATACAATTCCTATTCTATTCCTTACCTATTCTATTCCATATGGAATAGCATTCCTATTCCCTCCAAATTCATTCCGTGAACCAAACGGCCCGTTAATGCCCAATACGAGAGTATTTCGGGTATTAAGGAGAATTTTTGCGTTGTGTTCTTGCTTGGGCAACCTTGGATTGAATTGCCACGAGAGTGGAGTTTAAGGATAGGTTGCAAGTCCAAATAGTTACGAGAGTGGTATTTGGACACTTTTGTGCATCTCTCTTACCCTATGCCTTGTTTAATTCCCTAATCTTAGTGTAATATTTGGCATCTTAGCTTGAATCAACCAAATCCCGGTCCTTTGTTTTACTTGTCTTATTTGTTATTAGCTTTATCATATCAAACCATCTCCTTATCGATAGGTTTAGCTTCTAAAAGAATAGTTTAAGCTTGTGCTTAGCTCCACTTTACATCATTTCCTAACATTACAAGAGCCATCTCCAGTGGAACGATATCAAAACTCTATATTGTGATTTGATACTGGATGTGTGAAAAACGTCCTCATCAATGACCCTTGTAAACTGCAGAAGAAGTACTGCAGCTATCTGAATCATCACAGACTTGGAAATGAAATCCTCTTTCTTCGGATGACAACAAATTTCTGCCATCTTTTGGCCAGCTTAATGAGCCTCTTTGAGTGGAAGATTGAATGGAAGAGAATAAGATTTGTAGAAACTTAGAAAATAGAGAGAAAGATTGAATGGAAGAGAATAAGATTTGTAGAAACCTTCGAAATTGGGTAGAATGAATTGCAGTGTTTGATGATTGAAATGCATATGGAAGTGATGTATTTAAAGTGATGAGGAGGCTAAGACAGTCTTTAAGCTGTTGAGGAGGCAAAACCACATGATTATGCTGTCTAGCTAGTTGTATGGGGCCTTTTTGCTTCAACCACAAATATATGCAATATGGAGACATAAAAAAATGAGGAATCACATGGTTTTGTTTCCAAATCATCTATTGATTTGATTAATCTCTTATGTGAGAGATCGAGTTTCTTGGAAAGACAGAAGTAGATAAACTATCCCCATCTACTCAATTTCATTGAAGCGTGTGGGGAATGATGTTCATACACTGATATTCTTTCTTTTAACTTGTTACTTGAAAATTCTTGGAAGACAAAAACATGTGGTTATGTCTCTTATCTTGTTAGGTGGCTGCCCACCCATCCAAATTTCTCTAAGCCACTCAATCCACCTCCCAATGGATCTATATAAACACATTTGAGTTAGTATTCGCCATACTCAAACATTTCTATCACAAATACCTTAGTTTTTGCATTCTAAAATTGTTCCTATAGCATCTTTGCTTTAAAAAGAAGCATTTCAGAATGGCAATTAGTATGATACGAATTCTCCATCCTAACAAGGGTCTCAGAAGGTCTTCTTCAAGAACAAACAGAGAAAGTGAGGTTCCTAAGGGTCACTTTGCAGTTTATGTTGGGGAGAGTGAAAAGAGGCGTTTTGTCATTCCAGTTTCGTACTTGAAGAACCCTTCATTCCAAGACTTGCTCAGTCAATCTGAGGAAGAATTCGGATTTGATCATCCAACGGGTGGACTCACAATACCTTGTATGGAGGATACCTTCCTTGAAGTCATCTCTAGCCTGAGATCTTGAGAGACTACAGATAACTTAGTTTAGTGAAGAACAATTTTGCATAGAAGAGTTTTACTGTACAGTTCATTTGTATAGATTTTTGTCTGCATTTTTGCAGCAACTTTGAAAATATCAGAAATGTTGTCTGCATTTTCACCAAATCCTATTCCAAATTGTTGCTTTTAATATACTTTAGAGTAAAACTAGCAGTACAATATCTCTTCAAGGAAATCCAAGGCATATTCTACACTAAAAGTTAAGCAATAAACTTTTGCAAGTTCAGAATATAGGAATAATCTTGAGAACAGTCGATAGTAAAATTTAGTGCAGAGAATTTACCACAACTATTCACACAGTCCTTGTGTCTTAAAAATGAAATCTTCTTCCTTTAGACAGCAACAAATATTTTCCATTATATTTCATTGGCAAATTGATGAGTTTCTTGGAACTAATCATGGTTTTTGGCAAGAGCATTGACATCTATGGCCAAGATATTCATCTTGGTTCCATGTTAACCATCACACAAAGGTGCCAGATTAGTATATAGGTCAATAATTCTCTAATGACACTATTGCAGCTGTTCAAAATTGAGATAACAAACTGACCATATTGCTATCTCAAATTACATCTGCCTTCTGCTTATTCTTGGCGGAGCGATGCTAGGCCAGAAATGGAAGTGCCAGAATCTTATTGTTACAAATTCAATTACGCAATTATATAGTTTAATGCTTTTGAATTAAATTCATGAAAATAAGCTCTTGTAACAGAAAATATGTCAACTATGTACAGGTATAAGTGTATTGCAAAAAACTGAAGATTAAGGAGAATATGAAAGCAATGAATATATTTGAATTTTCTAAGAAGAATACTGAACATATTGGAAATCAAGTATATATTTCTGTATTGGATTTATACATTTCACATCATGTATTGAGCTACAACTAATATATATCCTCATTTACAAAATTTATTGAGATTAATATCAGCAAACTAGCAATTCCTGGTTTCGGAGTAACTGAGCTGACGAACACCGATGTGAAGTAACTGAGACGAGCAATGCGTTCTCAAGTTCTTTGGATAAACCTCGGCTAAGGAGTAAAATGATGTAGTCCAAGAAGGCTGCATCACATGGTAGTGTAATAGGCCCATCGCATGGAACCCCATATTCTTCTTCTGACAAGTTTAAGAGTTGCCTAATGCTCTCATTCTCGAGATAAGATAGAGGGACTACAAACCGCTTCTGATCAGCTGTGTAGATAGCAAAATGACCCTTGTTAACTGCAGAAGAAGTACTGTAGCTATCAGTGTCGTCATTTTGTCTTGGAAAGGAAATCCTCTTTCTTCGGATGGCAGTAAATTTCTGCCATCTTTTCGTCAACTTAATGAGTTTCTTGGAACTGATCATGGTACGAACTTAAGAAATAGAGAGTGAAAGAGGTTAAGATTGGTAGAGACCTTGGATATTGCCTGGAAAAAGTTGTAGTGTTTGATGACCAAAATTCACATGGACGCAACCTATTTAAAGTGCTTTAGAGGCAATGAGGAAATCAGGGAAGGCAAAACCATGTTCCCCCAGCTGTATGGGGCCTTTGAGACATACAAATAAGGAATCACATGGTTTTGTTTCCCAATCTTCATATTGATTCAAACAAATTGATTAAGCTATTTTCTAGGCAAACACCGTTAACTTACTGCTCTGTGAATTGATCAGTGACAGAAGTAGTTGAGCTTTCCACATCTGTTCTATTTCATTGAAGCATTTGGTGAGTGATGTGCAAAGTTAGTAGAAATTCTTCGAGATTTTTGGAAGACAAAACCATGTGGTAATGTTGTCTTATCATTCTAGCTGGCTGGCCGGCTGGACTTTGATCCAAATTTCTCATAGCCACTCAATCACCTCCTAAAGGATCTATATAAATGCATTTGAGCCAATGTTCACCGCACTCAAGTTCTTCCTTCACACAAATTGTATCCATAGCTTATTCAATTAACCTGCCTCTACTTTTCCAAATTAAAAAAAAAAAAAAAAAAAAAAAAAAAAAAAAACACATTTGAACATGGTAATTGGTATGGGGCACATTCTCCGTGCTAAGCAAGGCCTCAGGAGATCTTCTTCAAGAACAAACAGAGAAAGTGAAGTGCCTAAGGGTCATTTTGCAGTTTATGTTGGGGAGAGTGAAAAGAGGCGTTTTGTCATTCCAGTTGCGTACTTGAAGGACCCTTCGTTCCAAGACTTGCTTAGTCAAGCTGAAGAAGAATTCGGATTTGATCATCCAACTGGTGGACTCACAATACCTTGTATGGAGGATACCTTCCTTGACGTCATCTCTAGTTTGAGAAGATCTTGAGAGACTATAGGCAACTTAGTTTAGTGAAGACAAATTTTGCATAGAAGAGTTTTCCTGTTCATTTGTATAGATTTTTTTCTGCTTTTCTGCAGTAACTTGAAAGTCTGCCTAATTTTCAACAAATCGTATGTTTCTGCTCCAACTTATTGCACTGAATATAGTTTGAGTAAAATTAGCAGTACAATATTTGTTGAAGGAAATTCAAGACATATTCCACACAGTACACTAAGTTAAGACAAAAGGAAAGTTGCAGCTCCTAGTCAGTTTTTGGCTAGTGAAAATTTTGTGTGTAAGTTGGTAACAATCAATGGATACTTTTGTTTGCAACATTTACTTGCTCCTTATATCAACAAAGAGTTCATTTATCAGTGCAGGATGTTACAGCCATATATGTTAGATATTTGTGGTAAAGACATTCATATATAGGTTGAGTTATTATTCAATCTCCCCTCGGGGAAGGTAGCTGGGCTGACCTGTGCTTCAATCCAATTCAGTGCAGACAGTATTGACACCATTGATGTCTGTCTATGACCCCTCGTTTTTGAAGTTTATGCACATATATAGCGGTATCCAACTTCACTCACCTTTATTCAAAATTATCCATTGTTAGCCATCACAAAGTCTCTTCAGCATTTCTCATCTCTAGGTGACTTTTCTATTCAGCATCATATTGATTGCTTCTTCCATACATTTTGTGGTGAGTTAATTAGGAGAACATCAATACTTTGAAAATATGACAAATGGTCTTCTTCTGATGCATTTGTGAAGTATATGCATTTGAGAGTTTCCTGAGTCTCATGAATCTAATTCACCATTAATGATAGAATGTGCTTCACTCAATTCTTCAATAACTGATGTTCAAACTAGTTTCGAACAAACTTTAATTGTGATGAAAACTTCATGACTTCCATTGTTCAGAGCAGTGGATGTGAACTCCTCTTTCCTCAAATTAAATTGCAACAAATTAAATTTATGTCATCTCTTTCAATTCCCAGCTTGATGTTACTGATCACGATATATATTAAGTTAGGAAATAGAGAGAAATATAATAGAAGAGAGCAAGATGAGTAGAAACCTTAGATGTTAACTGTACTGGATTGAATTGAAGTGTCTGATGATAAAAATGCATATACAGAAGTGATTTATTTATACTACTTAAAGAGGCTACGACAAGCATTAAGTTCTTGCATAAATCAGAGAAGGCAAAACCATGTTCAACCGATTCATATGGGGCCTTGTAGGTTCAATTAGAAATATATGGGATCTGGAGTGTGGCCATATGTAGAGACATGCAAATAAGCTAACACATGGAATGATACAAGTACTTGAGCTTACCCATCTGTTCAATTTTCATTGAAACATGTGGGGAATGATCTTCAAAGACAGGTCTTTATCTACAAACCGGTTGGTAGAAATTCATTATGATTTTTGAAGACAAAACCATGTGGTAATGTGTCTTATCATGCTAGCTGCCTCAGTGGCTTCCCTCCCTCCCATCCAAAATTCTCTTAGCCACTCAATTCAATCCCACCTCCCAAAGGGTCTATATAATCACAATTGAGGTGGTATTCACCCTACTCAAGTTTTTCCATCACACAAATATTAGTTTCTTCCTTCACAATTTGTATAGCCTCTTTGATACATAGTGCCGCTACTTTCAAAAGAATTATTTGAACATGGCAATTAGTATGGCACGCATTCTACATGCTAAGCAAGGCCTTAGAAGGTCTTCTTCAAGAACAAACAGAGAAAGTGAGGTTCCAAAGGGGCACCTTGCAGTTTATGTTGGCGAGAGTGAAAAGAAGCGCTTTGTTATTCCAATATCATACTTGGCGGCCCCTTCATTCCAAGACTTACTTAGTCAAGCTGAGGAAGAATTCGGATTTGATCATCCAATGGGCGGACTTACAATACCTTGTCCGGAGGAAACCTGCCTTCACATCATCTGTAGTTCAAGTAGATCCTGAGAGTCTACAAACAGCTTAGTTTAGTCAAGAAATTTTTTGCTTAGGAAGTATTCTTGTACAGTTCTCCACAATTTTCAGCTGTCCCATGATCAGCTCAGAATCTGTAAATTTCACTGATTATACATACGGAGGACTATTATTCACTATATGTCTATATCTACTCCGCAGTGTATGGATGCATAGTCTTTGTAGCTCTGAACATGGTTAATTACCCTATTAAAATCACCATGGTAACTAGTAGGATTAAGAGAGAATCAATGACTTCATGGAAAAGCATTATTGATTCTTGTCTGCTTAATTTCTTCCTCAATCCATCATGTCTATAATGTTCATCAATTTAAAGAGCTTCACTAAAATGGAGGGTAAAATCCTAATGTTCTTTCCTTTATACTCTGTATTTAAATGTGAATTTCAAGTTCTTGTAAAAAAAAAATATTAAAAAAATAAAAATAAAAACCCTACAAAAAGTCATCTCTAAAATCAGCATCAATGAGAGAGAGAGAGAGAGAGAGTCTAACCTTGAACAACTTCAAAATTTCGATTAAGCAGTTAGGATGAAGCCATGCCATTGTTTGGGCGCGAAATTCAAATTTGTTGTTGTATGAGTGCATTGGAAGGAATAACGGTTGAAGGTTGAAGAAATCGATGAATATATCAAAGATAGTAAAAATGTTAAGTACATAGATTAAATACACGACAGTTGGAGAAGAATTTGAAGCTATGAACATAATTTGATTTTCATAGAATTGAAGATCACTGAATGTATTAGATATCAAGCTAAGTCTTTGAATTTCTGTACATTTCACAAGATGTGTTGAGCTACAGCCTACAGCAATGAGTTCCTCTTCTACAAAAATGATTGATATTAATTATATCAGCAAACTAGCAATTCTTGATTTCTCAGCCCTTCTTGGTGCAGTGAAGCTGATGAACACCGATATGAAGTAACTGAGATTAGCAATGCATTCTCAAGTTCTCTGGATAAACCTCGGCTAAGAAGTGAAATGATGTAGTCCAAGAAGGCTGCATCACATGGTAGTGTAATAGGCCCATCGCTTGGAAGTCCAAATTCTTCTTCAGACATACTTAAGAGTTGCCTAATGATATGATTCTCGAGATATGATAGAGGGACAACAAACCGTTTCTGATCAGCAGTGTAGATAGTGAAATGACCCTTGTTAACTGCAGAAGAAGTACTGCAGCTATCTGCATCCTCGTTTGGTCTTGGAAATGAAATCCTCTTTCTTCGGATGGCAGCAAATTTCTGCCATCTTTTGGCGAGCTTGATGAGCTTTTTGGAGCTGATCATGGTATTAACTTAGAAAATATAGAGAGATTGAATGGAAGAGAATAAGATGTGTAGAAAGTTGTTGTTTGATGATCAAAATTGAGATGAGAAGCAACCTATTTAAAGTGGTTCAATTTCTTGAGGAAATCAGGTAAGGCAAAACCATGTTCCACCCAGCTGTATGGGGGGGCCTTTAAAACACATGGTTATGTGTCCCAATCTTCACATCAATTCAAATAAATTGATTAAGATATTTCCCTGTCTGTTCAAATTTATTGAAGCATATGTTGAGTGATGTCCAAAGGTGGTCTTCAACTACAATATTGTCAGTAGAAATTATTGATGATTTTTGGACGACAAAACCATGTGGTGATGTTGTCTAATCGTTCTAGCTGGCTGGCTGGCCTCTGATCCAAAATTCTCATAGCCACTCAATCCACCTCCTAAAGGATCTATATATATATAAATGCATGTGTTGATGTTCACCCAACTCAACTTCTTCCTTCACACAAATCCTAGTTTCTGCCTTCACAAATTGTGTCTATACTGAAAAAATTTTCAGAAATCCTACTTTCCAAAAAGCATATTTCAGCATGGCAATTGGTATGGGGCATATTTTCCGTGCTAAGCAAGGCCTTAGGAGATCTTCTTCAAGAACAAACAGAGAAAGTGAAGTGCCTAAGGGGCATTTTGCAGTTTATGTTGGGGAGAGTGAAAAGAGGCGTTTTGTCGTTCCAGTTTCGTACTTGAAGAACCCTTCATTCCAAGACTTGCTTAGTCAATCTGAGGAAGAATTCGGATTTGATCATCCAACGGGTGGACTCACAATACCTTGTATGGAGGATACCTTCCT